TACAGTTTGAAAACCAGCGTAATTTGTTAAATGATGATAGCAAAAACCATTGAAGTTATTAAAGCGACGGATTCGTCGTTACGACGCAATTCCCAACATGTGAGGGAATTACTCGGGTTACGGATGTTACGATGGTTCTGAATCGGTTGGATTCTGTTCTAATTAACGGCTTCGAGAACTTTCCAGCATCATCGGAACTCTGCGAATGCCACTTTACACCCTTGCTAAACCGTACAAAGTTCGTCTACATCATCGTTATTATTATTATTACCGTTATCAGACCGATAATAACATAATCTTATAGTGATCTACATTTCGTGTTCTGTGTTTAATATATTTTGACACAAAATATTCAATAGTAAAATTTAATATATATATTTAATATATATTTATTAAACTTAATGTGTGTGTGTGTGTGTGTGTGTGTGTGTGTATGTGTGTGTGTGTGTGTGTGTGTGTGTGTGTGTGTGCATTGTAATATCCATTGTAATATCCATTCATTTTTGCTTTGCAAATACAGCAACTCGCCAATTTGTTATGAAAGTAAATTTTAAATAATATTTTACTACGTATATGTAAAATTGTGCTAGTCGTAAAAGTAATATTTTTAATAATAAACGTTAATTAAACATTGCTCATATCATCATGAAAAAAAAATTTTAGAACGCAGCAAAAGGATTATTAGCTTTTCCGAAATATTACTTCACCAATAAAAAAACCAATTAATTTGTTTTAAATAATTTGCACAGTTTGTTATAATATCATACATATCTGATTTAAATCTCTCTGTCTCTCTCTCTCATAAGTGATTTATTTTAATATTTCATACTTAACAAACAAATATTTCAGTTGCAGAACTTTTCATAAAATCTAGTGAAGGCTAAACAGACAAATTTGCTTATTCGCTTATAAATAATTGCGGGAGACGTCGTTGCACTGAGATTGTAGTCATACATCACGGAGTTATATAGCATTAAACAAAGACATGAAGTATTCCAGCTGCGGCGAATCTACTGCACTCGTAAATTTCTCGGGGCTAGGAAAAGGGAGAGTATAAAGTTTTATCGTCCAATCTTATGAGCAACAGGGCGTGAGTAGCGGTGATAGTTAGCAATACGTGCAGCTCGCGGCACTTAAGATTACTGCGCTTAGATTGTAGAAACTAACATATTTTGCCAACCTGTTGTTAACTACGAATTTGTAATGAAATTTAAAGCACTCGTAGTCGCTGCGCTTCTTTTTTATCTAACGTTACATAAATGAAATCTGATTGCAAATAAATTATTTTCGAGCACATTAATTAAATCGATATTTTAATGTGCATTTTAGATCTCGTGGGTGAGACATCGCGACATCCATTTGCTGACAGTTGGTCGTTATACTTATACGAGCGATCAGCGTTTCGAGGTGCTGCACAAATTCCACCCAGAAGAATGGATCCTTAGAATACGATATCCGCAGCGAAAGGATTCTGGGATCTACGAGTGCCAAATATCTACCACTCCACCCATCGGTCATCCTGTTTACCTCACTATAGTCGGTAAGTCATGACTGTTTTATAGGAAACCAACAGAATTAGTGACCATTACAATGGTAATAAAGATACATGAGAATTTGCATTGCAATGTAGCCATTATCCATTCATTTCTGAACACAGTGACTCGTTTATTGTCAGAGTGAATTTTAAACAATGTTTCATTATACATAAAACTGCTAACTGCATTAAAGTGATATTCTTCTTAACGAACATTAACTAAACATTGACCGTATCATTAGAGACAATAGCGCGAGTAAAAAAAAAGTCTTATGGACACAATGGCAGAATATGATTAACTTTCTCGAGATATTTCTCCAACGGAGAAAATCTGATTTAATTTGCTTTGAATAATTCGCGCGATTCGATATAACGTCATTTCCGAGTGGCTGAAATGTCTTTAAAATAATTCGTGAGAGATCCGGTTATACGGTTATAAACGTCTCTACATAGATCGAGAGATTTAGAAGAGGGTCGGACAAATCGAATTACTTAGAAGACATGAACGCGTACATTATCGAGAAAAATTTAACCGCAAATAGATATCTGAATCTCTAGATTAGAAATCCACATTTAGTTCTACGCGCATCCTTAAGATTCATCGCGGTTTATAAAACACATCACGAGTTGTCGCAACTTCTCATCGAGATCCGGTTCCCTTGAATAATTCAAGTGACATGGAAGGAGCCGGAGTAAATAAAAAAAAAAAACGTAGTATTTTCATAACTTTTTTTTCAAACTTTGCTGGTCATTTCAAGTGTTGAGGAAGGTAAAAGACCGTGGCACATGGCAAAAGTTACAAGCCAGTATAGATCTCGCGGGAGCCGTCAGACGATCGAAAGAATTATAAATCAATAGGTATGAGTATCTTCAGAAAAAGAATTACTAGCGACGCGTATAGCAGACAAACGTGGACATTGTCCACAATCCGAGACCGAAAAATCGCGCTCGCACGTGCGTGGAAAAGCGGAAGTTCCGCAATTCGTACAGAAATGGATGTACGTTCTGGAACGTGCGAACTTTGAAAGGAACAGATGAAACCTGTTTTATTCATACGAGCGTGTTATATATTAGCTTCCCATGCGAAAGGTCTTCTCAGAACAAATAGAATTCACATCCTTCAAGGAAATGTTTTATTAAAGCGCGCCTTTATTAAAGTAGCTACGCGAAATAATATATTGAACAGAACTGAGAAACTCGTATTTTGAAAAACTCAGAAGCACCGCAGTTTTATGTTCCGCGCTTTGCGTCGTATTTCCGTGAAATACGACCTGCGGACAAGCGTAAAAAAGTGCTAGCGGAGGAACATCGATCTAAACCGAACGAAAAAAATGATCGACATTCGCGTCTTGCGCGAACAAGTCAAACGACGAACGCTATCTCCGTGACATCTATCTGACTTCGCCAAGGATTCCCTTGATGGGTATTGATCGAATCTTCCGAAATTCTTGGTCCACACGATATCCTTCTTCAGGTTCATCAAATCCCGAATTGGAAAGAGCTTATCGCGATTGGTCTTTGAGGGATAACGTTGTCAAAGGCCAACATGCGTTTTGCGAACACAAGTCACGAGCGCGGCCAATTATCGCGAGGCTAATGAAGCCTTTTCCCTGAAAAGTGAGGGTGGGAAAAAGAAGAATCGACAGCTACCGTTCCGATCTCTTTCTTGTCTCTATCTCATCCATCACAGTATCTTACTCTTTGCCTCGCTCCCAACTCCTGCTTTCCTCCTCAGTTCAGGTATGTTTTTTCTCGTCTCGTCAAACTCTCTGTTTTCCAGTTTTCCGCTTCCAAGGGAAATTTCTAATCTTCTGTGATCTCTTCGAGCACTTTGCAATTTAATATGACGTTAACTGTAAACTTTACAGAACATCGAGATACAAAAGTCAAACAAGAGCAGATACGATTTTCATTCCTCTCCTAATAGCGATATTAATTTAAGATCCAGGAAAACTAAAAGTTCTGTGAAGTTTCTTTGGTAAAGAAGGAACTCTCGAGTTTCCTTGATTTTCAGGAAGCCCTGGAGGAGTGTCAACCCTGCAATTTTTCCATCGCCCTCTCCGTCAACCTCGAGAAAAAGAGGTCTGAAAATAATTGCAAAATAGCCAGAGGAGGAATGACTGTCCAATTACTAGTTTTTACTCGTATATGTGTGTATTTAGCAAGAACACACACACACACACACACACACACACACACATACAATGTATGACAACGAGGTGATCAGAAGAGAAGAATAAATTGTGTCTGAGCCATTGATCGATGCGATGATCTCCTTGTCGACCATTTAATAAAGATACCGAGCTGGACGACAAGGATCGAAAAACAATAGTCGACCTTTCAGCGGCATTCTTGGCACGCGATGCCCGTGAAATTGTGGCGACAAATTGAGCCTTTCCGGGAACGAACGATTCTTCCTTAACGTTACACTCGTCCGCCATACCGCCTTCCACTGCGATCCACGCCGACTGCCTGAAAAGAGAACGATCTCGCCCCCTCCCCCCCTTTTTCGCGAATCTCTTTCAAGCGCTTCTTCGTCTTTCTTCCCCTCGCTTCCGGGTCGCGTCGGTGCTTTCCGCTGTCACGATTGATGTCGTCGAGGGCTTACATCGTTTGACTTGAAAGCTCGATTTTTAAACGGTTCGATGTTTACCGTGAAAGGCAGCGTGTAAAGAGCGTCGAAGTCTACGAGTGCCTCACGGAAATTTCAAGAAAATTCCAGAGGCGTCCTTGCGTCGATATTACGCGGTCAAAAAGCTACGCAAAAGATATTACACTATCTACTATACTATCATAAAACGATACAATTATATAGCTCGTCTGAACTCGTCTAATTTGCGTATTATCTGCTTGTTATTACAACATTCCTTATTTAATTTTTTTTTTTTAATTTAATATTTTAGAGAAAATAGTTTCATTAAAAAACTTAATATTTTTATCATATTAAAAGAAAGTTATTCTTTATAAAATTGTTTTGAAAGATATTTTATAAATTTACACTCGAGAACCGATCCAGCTTTTTCTTTTTAATTCGATAATATAAGTTGCTCTTAACATCGCTTCCAAAATGCGATTTTCAACTTTCATATCTCCTTAATTGCACGAGGAGCAAACGATATCTACTTTGATACCTCTTCAACCAGCCACGTTTTCATGCACACCATTTCTGTTATCACTCGCAAGACAATCAGTATGTTAAAGAAGTTCACTCATCCCACATAAAAGCAAAAAGCGATTCGTTACGGAGGAGCGCCATACCGTTTGCCGATGTTAACGGCCAAAAAGTCGTCTTTGTTGCCGGCCATCTTTTTTCGCGGTGGTATTACCTTCCTTTTATCTCAGAGTCGCTCGCCATTCCTCTTTATCTTCTTCTCTATCTTCTACTTCATTTCATTGCCATCTAGGAGGGCAATAAAGGACATGAAAGTTTTATCTTTTCATTTGCTCCTCTCCTTTCATTCTCTCTTTTCTTTTCGTCGAGTTTTCTCTTCTAGATCTGCCGTCGGACCGTTTGATAACTAAACACAGACATGAAATACCACGAACAATGCGCTCGTCGAAACTGCTGAAATAATTCGCCGGATCGATAGACGAGTTATTTACATACCGATCCGGCGTCGACTCTCATTAAGTCATTATCGAGTATCGGCTTGAACGAGCCGCGACGTTCATTTCGCGAAAGAAGGAAATCGAGTGTCGCACGGTTCGCAATTTGTCCTCGTTAGGTCGATTGAACGGTCGTCAACTTAGCGAGTGTACCGCTGAAGGGTGTAACGAATGAATCATTTGCATCGAAAGCTGTCGCAACGTTTGTCTACCGCCGACACATCTAGGCCACATAATCGTCACTGTCTTTTTTTCGAACACTCACGGTGACGACTATTCTCAGTAAAGCACTTAATCAACTGCGAATATCGTGTAGTAATTTTGAGTTGACTAAGATCAATACGGACCATAAAAAAATCAACGTGCACAATCAACCGACTAATTATTTATTTTCTTCGTAAAATAAAATATTGCATTCTTCATGAAGCATTTTAATTTAATTTATTCTGCTCGGAGTACGCTTCCGACCACCGCCATTCTCACAAAAGTCACTCACCGTATCGTAAAGTCTTCCGTTTTATTCTTTCTCCCGTCGCGGAGCCTGAATTTAATTAAAGACACTATTTTTTTTTTAATTATGATTCCAACCCACTGCACGTCTTTACACGCTCATTGCTCCGGAAGGAAAAATAACTCGAGTGAGTAGACGAAGATACAATGAAACCGCAGACGCAGCCAATTATTATCGAGAACGGAAACGAGATAACGCCGATGCTACTCTTTGGAATTCCCTATCACGTATTTCGAAAATTTCGCAGAACAATTGCACCATCCTGCACGGCGCATAACTCGGGAACGATATATCGAGTGTCGCCGGTGATTTCGACCGCTGCCCGAGTTTCGTCGTCCTGTCCGCTTTATTCTCTCGGCGCCGGTAAGGCAATATAGCGTTTTCGCCGTGAATCAATTTCGCGGCCGTCACGTACTCGGTCAAGTCGTTTCTCATTGACGTTAGCGGAAGTAGGAGAAAAAGGAATCTTGAAAGGAACCGACGGAAGGGAACGGTAGCGAAGCCCAGCGAGACGGGCTGGCAGGCAGTTCGTAGTTTTCGTTTGTCGCAAACGTGCGTGGAAAGTTAAACCGTGCACATGCAGCATAACGAATTTACGTTACCTTCCAACGTGTGGAAGTTCCTTAACCATTACCGAGTAGCCCGGCTAGCTGGAGCATTAGGCAGCTAATTAGCGTTCGTTAATTAGTTTGCGCATGGACGCGCAAATTAATGTCCCTTCGGCCGAAGCCGCGCACTATCGTAGACTGCGGAAACAAAAAGATCCATTATCACATCATCGCATGCATACGTGTATACACGTGCAATATAAGACGCGCATTGTGCTGATGAACGATCGACAAAGTAATAACAGCGTAACGACCATCCCTATCGTTCAATATCTCATGAC